CACAGCTTTCTTTTCCTTCCCTAGTACTTGTATGATAATGTTACAAAGTGGCTACTGTATCACACAATGAAATAAATTGGGTCTCACACTGCTTTTATCCTTTTGTCCTTGAAGGAGACTGGGTGCATGACCAGAGACAGGGCTATGGAGAATATCTGTATGCAAATGGTGACACCTATACTGGAGAATGGGCTAACAACAAGAGGTTTGTTTCCTTCTCACAGGGATGTTTCAAGTCACCCAAGGACATTAAAATGCAAACATTATTTTCAGAGCATGTCTGACTGCAGCAAATGAAGTCCAGGGGTGACCTTGGCAATTCAGTCTAGCTTGAGTAGTTTCAGCTGCTTGATTAATATTGTTTTAATGCCTTAATTATAACAACAGCCTAAATTCTTAATATTCACTGGTATAAAACAAAATTATTATTTTCTCCCTAGGCATGGGCAAGGCACCTATGTCTATAAAGACACAGGATCTAAGTATGTCGGCTGCTGGGTAAATGGAATCCAGGATGGACCAGCTGAACTTATCCACCTAAACCACAGATTTAAGGGCAGGTTTCTCAATGGAAAGGTAAGTGTGCAGGAATGCTTTCTATTAATCTGAACCGTTAGCATGGAATTGTCTTAATATGACCTATTTCCACTTAAAATAAGAAGCTAGGTTTCTGATCTTTTGTAGTGTTTCCTGTACCATAAGTGTAACACATGAAACTGAATTATTCTGTGGGACACAATGCCAGGTTTCTTTGCAACATTGCTTTGAAACTCTAGTGTCACTGACTATTGTATGGAATTTGTAGTAAAGGATATTTTACATTTCTGTGCTTAGAATGGATTAACTGCTCAGTTCTCCTGATGTTTTTGTGTTTTTATGAAGCCTTTAGGTCGTGGCAAATTCATCTTTGATATTGGATGTGAGCAGCACGGTGAATACATACAACCAGTGCAGGTAAGAGAAATAGTGCAAGTTGTAGTGAGTATCAGAGGACTTAGCAAACCAAACCTATTTTTGAGGAATACTTAAAATGCCTTACAGACAGGGATATTAAAGTAGATCTTATAAGGCAAGAAGGGTGGAAACTCATGCATTCTTAAGAACTAAATGAGGCTTCATTTTGGTTTTCTTTTTTTTAATTTTTAAATGTTCTCTACTGTGTAAGCTTTGAAATGTACAAGGTGTGATTTTGCACTGCTTGCAGACATAAATCCCTTCTGCTTAAAAAAAATCAAAAGCTTACAAAACATTTGAAGCTTCAGATCACAGAGGAATATAGACACATTTGTATGCACATTTAGCCTCTATTGCATTTTCTTCTGAACACCAGAAAACAATGAGCAATATTTCTTGTATTTCTGAAGTGCTTGGTGCTATGCATACAAATAGTAATTTCCAGCAGAGTCATGTTTGGGAAATATGTCCTATTGTTGTTCTGGTCATGTTAGGAGCTTAATATCCACAGCTTCTAATAATTGTAGGGAGTGTTTGGGATCAAAGTCTGTTTTCCCTTGTCTATACATGAATGTTTTGAAACATTTCTGATAGATATGGCACAAAAATAGCTACAGAAGTGAGATTATATTTTAATATTACTATTTGATTTCAAGAAGAATTGCTACATTTTAGCTTAGAGTTTGCTACCTCTGTTGTCTGACACATTAGTTCCCGTTAAACTCTCTCTGAAAACTCTGTGATGCAGCAATCAATTCTGAAGGATAAAATAATAATCATCAAAATCCTATCAATTGTGATAGAGATTTGCAAAGCTTGGAGATGGTTTTGTTTTTTTCCAGCCAAAAGCAAGGGATCCTCAAATTAAGTATGAGATTCATAGGAGTATCCAGAGTAATGTGTGCTTCTTTAGTTCAGCAGGGAATTCTTAGATGAGTTTTTAAAGCAAGGGACAGTGCTGTCACTAAAGATTAAATTTTGCCCTTGCTTTAGTTGAATTAATTACAGAACAAAGTCCTTTAAAAAAAAAAAAAGACAAGAAATTAGCTAATAATACTAATAATACAGACAATGATGCAATTATTGACTCCTTTATATTTGTAGAAAAATCATGATTTTTATTAATTTCAGAAATATTTTCATATTTCAAAACCATAAGCTCTGTGCACCTTACTGCTTCATAGATCCTTTCAAATGTCCTCCCTAGGCAAAGATTGAGGCAGAAACAGCTGTTTTGTCACTCTGTTTCTGTGTCAGACAGTGCAGCATCCACCAGACAGAACATCAGGTATCAATCATCAGTCACAGCCAACTGACCTGATCAGGGCTCAAAGTGTAATTCTTCTCCAGCATTTGCAGCTGCTGAAGTGTCTCCACCTGTAAATACTTTTAAGGTCATTGCCATTTATCCCACATAAGGAAGTTTTAGTATACTAGCCCATCATCGTAGTTACTGTCTGTAGGATGAGATATTGGATTTCATGAATTCTCTTCTAGGAAAAAGAGGAGGAAGAAGATGAGGAACCACCATTACCTCTTGAACCAATATGGAAAGTATCAGAAATTACCGAATTAACACCCTGGTCTCCCCATGATGAGGAGCTACTAGAACCCAGAGAAGCAGCAGGTGCAGCAGGTGTGGTAGCTGAAGAGAAAATTTTATCAGTTATAGCTTTGCTCTGGAAAGATCTGGAAATTCCATGCTTTGACTATGGTGACCATTGTTTTATGGGTTTAATATCAAGTGATATGAGAGGGTTTTTGTGTTTTGTTTTGTTTTTCCTATGATTTTTCCTATGATTTGGATGTTTGGAACTTCCAAGTGTATTCATAAATGGCATAATATGTATGTATCTGTTTTATTTCACATAGCATGAGATACAACTGTCTTGGGAAGCCTGTGAGTTATTTTACTTTATATCATGGTTTATACAAACTTGATTATAAACAGAGAAGATTTTGTGGGATTTCTCACGTGAACAACAATTGCAGCCTTCAGTAGGAGTTAGGAGCTATTACATGAAAACAAAGGCTGAATGCAAATTTGTAAAATTTGTTTTCTTTGGTATTTCTAATTTCTTATATTTCAGCCACTGATGAAGCTGTGAGTCACCCAACCAGCGATGCAGGAGAGGAAGGTGAGGGAAGACAAGAGGAAGAAGTAAACCAAGATCAGGAGGATCAAGGTGAGAAATGGGGCATGTGTGTTCATTCTTTAATTAGCAGTCAGGGTTTGAAATTATGGATGTCAATCAGCTGAAGCTATGCTGCTGTTGGGAGACCATGAGAATCTCTACCTTTCATAAAGAGGGCAGTCCTCTGGAGAGGTAAACTATGAGAAGTTAAATTCATATACTGCAACAGAACAAATTAAAAGTGACACTTCTGTGCATGTACACTTGATAGCACTTGCAGAGTTGAATTTATATGAGATTGCCTTTCAAAACTATTTGGTTTTGTTTTTTTTTTTGGTAACAAAAATGAGAGGAAATATGTCAGGTCCTGAGAAGTTCAGGGAGTTTTGAGCACTTCACTTTCCTCTCATGAATGCAACTGTATATTCTTAATTCTCTCAATTGTAGTTCAAAAGCAGGCAAAACAAATATGAAGAAACAAATTTTAGGTGTTGTTATGCATTCTAGTTTAAATAGTCTCTGACTGGTTTGCTTCTCCTACAAACTAAGGAGATTTGAAATTCAGGTGCTCAGATTTTCTTCCAGGCAGTTCAGAAGCCTGTTTTAAATACACAGTTAACAAGAAGCAACAGGGATGCATCCATTTTTACTTATATTTAGCTTATAAGCCTCCAACCAATTGTGTTCTTTGTATCTATTCTTAAAATGTACAAACTTGCCTATCTGATAGGAAAACCTCAGATAATTTTATCCATTTGTAATTTTACAATAAATCCAAGCAAACCACTGTCTTTAGGGATTAGAAAATCTCTTAAACCATATGAAAATGCTTGAAGGTACACACCAAACATTTAGGCCAGTTCTTGTAGTTTTCAGTTTATTTGCTTTTCATTTTCACCTCTGAAGGTGCTCTCCAGCTTCAGGGCAGAACAAGCAGCTGGCTGACCTGGTGTGTAGGGCTGACATCTTACAGGATCCCTGGGCTTGGATCAAATCCAGCAGAAACCTCAGCAGATTATAGCTCTGCTTTGGATTTTGAAAAAGTGCATTGAGCCTGGTTTTTCTCAAAGATCCTTGGACTCAACCATTTGGACTGAACTTGATTCTAGTAAATTTTCTGGCCCACCACAACAAAGCAGTTCTGGTTTTCCTAGTGGCTTTTCTAGGGTGTTTTTGAGAACAAATGAGCCCAGGTATCTGTCAGATATGGCATAGAGGCAGATGCCAGTGCCTGAAAACACAGCAAAGTGATAGATGTTCTCAGAGTTCCCTCCAACTCTTTATTTCCAGAATCAAGGAGTTGTATGATTTTTAACATTTTTCAGCCTAGGACTCCACCCATAATTTTTATGGAGGCAATATATTGTTCCCCTTGTCTTTATGTTTAGCAAGATTAAGTTATAGAAGGAGGGAATGATTTGAAGAAAATATGCATCCTGTGAAGAGCAGATATAAAAAATCTGTTTTCTTTGCAGCCTGGTATTCCCTGTGCCTTTACCATCATTCTTTTTCCACATAGAAATTCCCTCTTTCTTGTTCTGCATTCCTTATGATGTCATCTAACCAGGAGACATTTTTTGGCTGTTCAGAGTTACATACAGGCTGGCTGGCAGTCAGTGTGGGTGTACTGAGTCTGTCTGCCAGCTGACAAACAATGTAAACAACTTGAATTCAAGTACTGACATTGAAAGGCAATGGGTGAGGAGGACTGAAGTGGACAGCAGAGTTCTAGAGTTATGTTTTAGATTACTGGGATTACTTTTCAGTGTTTTATAATAAAATGCATCTCTATGCCCTGACTTTCCTTCTACTCCACAGAAATTACTGATTTTGGAGGATGAACTAGAGGAAACAGGAATTGGGTACAACTAAAGGAAAAGATACAAAAAATGGAAATTTTGAAGTAGATGATTTAGTGTGGTAAGCCTGCAATATTTTTATTTGTAAAAGGGTGTGTTAAGATGTTTTGAATAAACATTTCTGTTAGTGTTCTGTCTGGAATGTGTATCTTTGGGCCTTTTATAATCTCAGAATCTCTCAGCAATGTCCTTTATTCCATGTAGCCCGTAATGAGGTGTGAAATTCAGTGCAGAATTATTCTGGATTCATGAGGCCATGAAGCTGTGTCCTCACAACGTAATATTCTACTACTGGTAGTTGCTGTCTTTCTTGAACCCTGCCTCTGGGCACAGACTTGGGGGTGTTGCTGGTGAAGACAAAGGCAGGACTGGACTTCCAAGTTCTATGCGTTTTCCCTGTCACTAGGGCACCATTCCAGACCTACATTTTTCTTGTTTATTTTGCTGTTGTTTGCTGTTACAGATGTCCTTGCATCTGTAAAAACTCTTCTTGTTGCCCTAAATCCTCACTTTCCAGTCTGAACTCCAACTGAATTTTTTTATCCTAACAGATGGGTGCAGTGTTTTTAAATTCTTCCTTTTTAGGCTGGTTTTCCTTCTGCTTTCTGTATACTACTTGTTTGGTTTGGTTTGGTTTTGGTGTGTTGCACCAAAGATCCTTCTTTACCATGTGCCTTCCTTAAGTTTCAAGGACACTCAACCAATCAGGGTGAGCAGGTGGCTCTGTAAGAAATTCCTGGCACTGTGCCACATCATCATAATGATCATTTGTGATCCACAAGCTGTTAAAAAAGATGTTGTCTGTATACAGAACAGTTCCATGCATTAAAGCAGCTTATTCACATGGAGGAAAACTCTCCTCCAAATTTTACCTTTCTATCTTTATTAATGAGCTCTTCATTCATTGGAGAGCTCTGGTTATGTGAGCTGTCCCACCATCTTTCAGTTTTCTTGAGGATGTCACCATTCTGCATCTGAAGCAGTTTCTAATTTCTCCTCTCTTTTCACAGTCTTATATATATACTGTAAAGCAGGCTTCCTTTTGAGTTGGTTTAGCTTCATGATGGGTATCTTGCTACCATCACCCTGCTCCTTTTACATAGCAACCCTGAACTTAATTCCTTAGTGTAAGCAGTTCTTGCCATCCTCCAAGATCCCAAGTTTCTTCTCATCAGATTCTCAAACCTGTTGGAAAACACACTCTTACTTTGTTGCTCAAAGAGGGAGCCATAGTGATTAAAGCCAAAGCAGGAGCACCGTCCTATCGCTACTGAGGTACAAGAGGTGGCAAAGGCAGCAACTTCACCTGCCCTGCTCAGCTTGTCCTCTGCAAACACTCTGAGGGTGAGCTGGACGCACTGTCTGTGTCATTGGGGAAGCCACGCAAGAACCCAGGGTCTCTCTCAGGAGGAAGCAGCTCCTGGGATGTCTCTGTGCTAGAGCACGACAGAGATGGAGTAGGACCACTCCCAGCAACCAGCCCCTTGCCCAGCTGGCTGAACACCAGGCCCTCGGTGGGCACTTGGTGGGGGCAGTGGGTGACTCAGTCCTGCTCATCAGAGACTGAGGAGGACGAGCCTTTGTCAGCATGGAGGAACAGTGGGAATCTGGCATGGATCATGAGCTTTCCCAGTGCGGTGATGTTAGGAGCTACCAAGAGGTCTCGGACTGGGAAGGATGCTTGGAGCAAGGGCTGTCCCAAGGAGATGTCATCAGCTGTGGGGAACACTCCAGCTGGGATGAGGCGAGCAGCAGCAGTCCCAGGGAGAAGCCCTTCACTATCAAGAATTTTCTGCCTGGGAGGAATGCATGGAGCCAGGGCTGTCCCTTGAGCAGAAGCTGGTAGATCCCCAGAACCGTCTGACTGGGAGGACTCTGTTGGCCGAGAGCTTTCTGAAGAGGAAGACTCCGTTGGCCAGGAGTTGTCCTAAGGCAATGGTAGCAGACCCTCCGTGCAGTCCAGTCGGGAAAATGATGGTGACAAAGAGCTTGCTCAGGACAATTGGGAACACGTGAGGGTTCACAGCATCCGGGTCAAGCCCTTGCTGTGGGAGAAGGACGTGGGACAAACCGAGCTTCTTGGAGCTGAGTGAGGCAGTCAGGGAGCACAGCCCGGGAGTTTTTGTGGCGGGCGGGCTCCCAGTGCCTGTCCCGCGGGAGGCCCGGGTTGAGCGCGGGGCAGCTGAGCCGTGCCAGGAGCCGCTCTGGGCCTCCCCTCCCCACCTGGCAGCCCCGGGGCCTCCTCAGGGCTCCGCGCCTCCTCCCACCTTCGAGGAGCAGGTGCCAGCGGCAGGGACACAGGGCCCGGAGCCTGCCCAGCTCAGCTGCTTCATGCGCTTTTCCCAGCCAGGAGCCCAGGCCCTCAGGGAGCCGCCGGCTCCCCCCAAGAAACGCCCGTCCCGCTTCAGGCGGGCGCTGCGGGCGCTGCGGGCGCTGTTCCGCTGCCCCTGCCTGAGGCCACAGACGGACAATCAGTGCCCGCTGCCCGCGCCAGGCCGGGCCCCGCAGGTGGCGGCTGGCCCGGAGCCTGCCCCTGTCACACGGGCTGCCTTTGATGGCCAGGTGTCAGGGACATCAGGTCCTTGGCAGGAGAAGGGCCTGGCTGAGGCTTAGGCCTTGACAGGCACCAGTGGTGTCAGAGCCACGGGCAGGGCCACAAAGCCTGGGGACAAGGAGCTCCTGCTCAGAGGGGACACCAAGGACACACGAGTGACAGCCACAAGGACGTTTGGCAGAACTTCCCAGATGAGGACAAAACTCATAAAGCCAACTCAGGAACTGTGCTGAAATCGGCTCCAGCTGGGGAAAAGGGACTTCTGGCACGGGGAGATGGCGACCACCAACTCCTGGCCCAGAGACTCCATAACCCAGCGAGAAAAAAGGACATTCTTCAAAAGAAAAGGAAGACTGAGCATAGAGAAGACTGAGCATAGAGAAAGAGTAGTTAGCACAAGAAGCAAAATAATCTTTTATCCCATAGAATAAAATCTTAAGAAATTAATATTAGCTAATTATAAATTACTGTTAATAATATTATCTAATAATAACCAAAATTATTACACTAATATTTAGTAAATAGCAAAAACATAATACTAATATAACATACAAATTAATGTGATTTGATATTTACAATATCAATATATATTGTAATTTAATATTTTTATCAATATAGATTTAATATTTATATTTATGTAATGTAATTTAATATTTTTAATTTTAAAATTAAATTTAATGTAATTTAGCATTTATAATATAATTTAATATTTATAATAATATTAATATAATTTTAATTAATTAAATTTAATATTTACAAGATATTTAATTATGTAATTTAATATTTATAATATCAATATATAATTTAATTATATATAATGAAATATTTATAATATGTATATTATTTATTAATAAGAAATATCTTTTGAATATCATAAGATATAGCATATATATGATATAGAACATTATATATGGCATATATAATGTAATATCTAAGTATTTGGATATGATACTGTAAAAATATTACAATCATTTTAAAAGGAGATAATATGTGAAATTAGTAAGAGAACCATGTAACTGGTATCCAGTACACATTAATGCCTTTATTTGGTAAAACGTATAAATAGTGAAATGCTTTGATAGTCGCTGTGCTGGCTTTGTGGATTTGCCCCCCAGCACCTGTTTCTGTGCAGAACTGTAAATAAAAGAAATATCTGAACTCTGTGTTTGGATCGTCTTCTTGCACACGGGGTGAAAGAATCCGTTTTGGGACAGCAGCTTTGCCATGGACACATTGATAAAAGTTGCTGCTTTTCCTGCCATGCTCGCCTGTGCCTGCCCCATCTCGGGAGCCAGACGGGCGCAGGCAAAGCAGCAGAGACCTGAAACTCGGCGGCTGCGCGGTCGCTGTGGCCAAGACAATCCCACGTCAGCCACGAGAGCCTCTCTGGGAACAAGCAACAAATCCCAGAGGGCTCCTCTCCGAGCTGCTCCCTGAGTCCCTGTACCGAGAAGTTGTTGTGCAGGTGTTTGGGGAATGTCCTGGGGCTGTTTGGACCAGCTGTGTGGTGTTCCCAGTGCACACCCGGCAAGCTGAATTCCCCCACAGGGACAAGGGTGGCTGATTTGGAGGTGAACCCTGGTTCCATAAAGAATCATTTTTTGGGTCATTGTCCTGGTTGGGTGGCCAAGAGCATCATCCTACAAAACACTGCTAGGGAATTCCTAGGAGACAGGAATTCCTAGGAGATAAAAAGCACAACCACATAGGATTTATCTGAGAAGTACAAGGTTAAAATGTGTATTGGTTTTGGCTAAAACATAGATATTAAAAAATATATTTTGTTTTTAATGAGACCTGCAATGGACACTGGGACAGGCCAAAGGATTATTCTTTGGATAGACTTTGGAAGAAGGAGTTCTTAGTGTCAAGTCTGCATTTTGGAGAAGATACATTTCTTATGCTGCTGAAAACCTTTCTCAGAAAGAAAAACGAAACCAAAGCAAACAAAAAACCAAACCAAAACAATCAACCAAAAAACAACAACCACCCACAACCCAAACCAAAAACACAGCACAAAACCCCAACAAAGTTCTCAGAGCAGAGAATTGAAATCAAGACTTCTGATTCGCCAGAAATGAGGAACTGCTGTCACTCAAATATTATTAAACCACCCATCTCAATCCCCTGAATTCTAGTTATTGTTCAGCATCTCACTGCAGCTAAGAAGAGATCACATAAATTACAGTCATGTATTACTTCCCTGCAGCCACTATGTTTAAGTAAAAGCATCAGCTTCTCTTTCCTTGTCTAGGTGGATCGCTTTTGGTCAGAATTTTCCTTTAAGCACAGCCTAAGAGCATTTCACCTTTCTTTTCCTGACTTGTATTTTTCTTTTAAACATAGTAGAAACTTCCCACTTTGAGTTAGATAACACTACACAAAGAATATGAAAAAAACAGTTGCCACTGAGAAACTGAAAATGCTACCTATTATTTAATCAATATTTCTAGTGGCTGCCATCAAATTGGACTGCCAGGGATCCAGGGATTTTTAAGAGACATATCAGGACCCTGAAATACTTCTGATGCTCTTAAATGGAGCAATAAAAAAAGGAACTCTGCTCAGGTACTTAGTTCTTGATGGGACTGGTTGTCATGTTAACATATGAGGTAGAAATGGAAGCATGTTTCTACACGGAGGTAGGAGGGACCTCTTTGTGTGGAACATTCTGCTGGGGATATTTGAAATGGGAGCCTGCCCCTGGCAAAGTGTAGGAAAGGAAGGTCTGGCAAGATAGGGGCAAAGCTGCTGCTGTCCAGCCAAGGTGACCTCCACCCATGGCTGTGTCTTTCATTGTCTGCCAGTTACCATGACAGGTAAGCACCAGAAGGTTGGGTATTTCTAGAGATGCAGAGACTCTGGAAAACCACTGCTGCCACCTGCTGTGCCATCCCACTTTTAAATCCACAAACCCATGCCCTGAGTAATGCCAAAGCCTAAAGCTCAAGGCTTCCCGTGGGATTTGCCTACTGGGATTAGAAAAAGATGGATTGCTGTGCAGGTTTTAACCTTACTGCATGATGGTGACCCCGTGTGTGTAATAAGCACCCAGAGGTATTTCCCAGCACTTTCCAGCTTGGGAGAATGCAGGAAAGCAATTCCTGCCTGCTCTTTGTGGTTGGCAGCATCATCTGGCATGGAGAACATCAACCTCCACCACTGCAGCTGTTGTTTGCCACCCAGATTAATTTTTCAGAATTAGGATTCCATGAAAAAGCTTTTTACATCTTATGAGTAAAAAAAAGTGTTCAAAATTGTGGGTGGTGCAAAGTCAAAATCCCACTTTCAAACCAACTCTGCAAGATTGCTTCTAATCTGAAAAGTGATTGAAAAGGTGGCAAGTGATCACTTTTCCACAGTTTCTCCAGATCAGAGGGTTGTCAAAGTACTTGAGAGTCCTCTGCTTGCCCTATTTAAGTATTGTGTCATGAACAAAGGAAAAGAAAGCTGATGATGGCTATTCAGCACTGTGAATTATCAACACACTTCAGTCCAGTCCAGGTGACTCAGCTTCATCTCTGTAAAAGTGAAAACACCATGGTGTTAAAGACCACTTTGCAGGAATTTGTGCTGTGAAAAGTTCTTGGGGTGGTTTGATCTTTGATTTAGATGACAGAGGCGCAGCTTTTACTGTTGCAAAGAGCTGAAGAGTGTGAAGAACAGAGCAAATGGAAAGAGTGAGAATGCTGTACCTCCCGGTAACTGCTAAACAGACATTGCAGTAAAATTTAATTGCAATTGATGTGAGATTAATTGTGGCCTGGAGCAGGAGGCAGTGACTGTCAGACTACACAGAGCTCGAGGGCTGTCTCAGAGCTTGGCACTCTTGAAGACTGCCAGCTATTAGCACTGTAATTATGTCATTTTTATAATTCAAGTACGATGCAAAGGAATAAATGTCCTGCCAGTAACATAAGCACCACCTGAAAAAAAATAAATTATTATTATTAAGAAGAATGACTTAATGTGGAAAAACATTGAAACAGCTACTGAAGTACTCAGTTTGTATCCACCTCATCTGCAGCAAGGTGCTAAGGAGCTACCACCGAGTCTGCCAAAGTCAAATTGAGTCAGACTAATTTAAGTGGATTTTTTGGCAGGGTCCCTGGGCTATGGAGCAGTTTGCAAACCAGTAGCAGGAAACTTTAGGGACTGGTGAGAGACACAACACCAGAAAGATGCTGGGAACACAGCAGTGACTACAAGTGTCAGCCACGCTTGGAGATTTGAAGCTTCCAAGCTTCACTTGAAGTTACAAAGGGGGCTTCAAGCAGGAACCACAGAACTAATGTTTCAATGTTGAGAAAAAATGTAAGGAAAGATCAAACAGGTGGGTTCAGTCGAGGGAGGAGAGAGTAGATGAGGACACTCATCAGACTGGTATAAAAAGAATAGTGATGAATTATTTTCCATGTAATTGGCTTGGTCCTTTTGGGTTAATTCCATATGTTTGGGGAATAATTAGAATAACAGTGGAATACTGCAGGAAGCAACTCAGAGTTATAGAATCAGCCATATGGGAGACTTCTGAACCAGAGGGTTCAGAAACATCACTTAAGACCAGTCCAGACACTTGCTGTGCTTCAAAAAAAGGAAAACTGAATAAACATTTCTACAGCTTCCTTTCAATCATGTTAACATGAACAACACTTAGGCTTGCATGAAGTCACTACATTTTTTAAGTAAGCTGAACTTACAGGAAGAAAAAATAATTAAATCAAACTATGTAGATTTGCAGCTTAAATTTGGCATAATAATTCAAGTAATTGGATCTTTATATGTTAGCATTGCTATTCTGTGTTGTCAACATCCCTAAAATCAGCTCAACAAATGTACCTGCTCTTGCCATACTTTCTCTGAACAGAAGAAATGTTATTAATAAAATGACATCAAAGTAATTTGCTGTATTGCAAGTGACTTTATATTACAATTTAGACTAAGTTCTAAGGGGTATTTGTATTTAAAAGGGAACCAAAAGAAAGTATGGACTAAAAAGAAAGAAGTAAAACTAAATCTCTAAAATATTAATGACAATGGATACTCACTTTCAAAACTCCTGGCATTTTATGACTGACTTCCTAAACATTGCAATTCCAATTGCAAATAAAAATAAAATAGTAGATTATTTTATTTCCACTTCTTATCAAAATACCTATTTGTTTTCAGATTTGAATAAAACCACAGAGAGGAAGGATAGGTTAAAAACTGCACATTTGACCTGTTTTACAATTGGTGTTCAGAAGCTTATTGAGTTCTGGAGGCAATTTAATAAAGTCACAGATATGAAAATATAGAACTGTCTTTATTAATGAGGTATGTATTTGTTCAGATCAGGTTTCTTGGGATACAGCCTTCTATTTGGATTTCAGCTGGCCAGCCTTTGTATCTGTCCTTCGTCTCGTCAGAGTGGTTTATCTGTAAAAGTAAAATAAATTAAGAAAAAAAAAAAATCTTTTAGTTTTTTTCTATTTACATACCAGTTTCTCAAACCTTATACAAGAGGAGAGGGTAATGAAGGAGGACTGGGAAGCTGAGGAGAATCTTGCACATCTTGCT